TTGGTCATTTTCCATAATATTTACCCAGCACCTAATTTGGTGAAAGGCATTAGACACAAATTGTAGAAAATTTGACCAGATCATCGCAACGTGGGTATTGAAATGTTTAATTAAAGCTATAATGTCCACAAGTTGGTCATTCAGTTTTAGTGTGAGTCGGTTGTCATTTCCTAAACTACTGGTGCTCAATTACTTGGTGAAAGGCACTAGACAACCCAACTCCCATATTGATTTTCAGAGGCAAAGTGTCCGGAAAAAAATTCATTTCAGAATTATTTGCTTATGATGAAATCCACACTGCGAAAATTCCTGTATCCGCCCCTTGCTGGGTATGTTGTCCTCTCAGTTGGACATGTCAAAGGCATATTATCGATGCAACAATATTAGTTGGCAACAACATGACCATCAATAAGTGCAAATTTTGAAGCGGACCATTTTATATTTAACCGTATGGCACAAAGCTCATAAAGTGGGCGTAATGTGCTGAAAATTACTTTAAATTGATAAATTTATGATGGCCGTTTTGACATAATGTTATGTAGGACGTGAGCCCAAGTGATATCTGTGAATTTATATGTGTTTCTTGACAACTATATCACTGTAAAAATGTTGGGCAAAACACTGCTGGGCAATGTAATTTTACCAAACATTGGTTTGAAAATTGATTTGGGTAACAATTTTCCAATTATTTGGACAATTTGCACAAGAGTTCAACCTGTTGATATGTTCACCATCACCGGTCTACATACATATCGACTCATTTTGCCCAACGTTTTTACAGTGATGTATGAAAAATATGTCTTGTTGCACAATGTGAAAATAAGCCTGACCAATTTTCTTGTAATCATAGTTGACCGTTAAATGTGATAATAGACTTTATAAACGTTGGTGAAAAACCAGTGACCACTCTATGAGAACATATCGAGACACCAATGTTGTTAAAGTATAGTTGACCATTAATTGATTGAGTATATGCTCCATGTATTGGTCAAATCCAACTTGCCATCTAATTGTGTAAGATAATTTGACCAATAAAATGGAAATTTTTAATTGACCAATTGATTGGAAAAGGCTGTGTAATCATTAGCTGGTAATTTATATTTTACCCATCTTCTGGTCTAAGTTGATATTTACACCAATTTAGGGCAAGCAGTTGGTCAAGAAATGCTTTATTTTTTTTTTTACAGTGTAGGCCCTCAAGCTTTTCGTAGGCCCCAGAATATTATCGCAGGTCCTAGGCACAGTGCTTCCTGTGGCTATTGAATAATAATCAACAAAATAGTTGTTTATGATATACACTCCATTTACGATTTTGAGCAATTTCATTGCTTCAAACGAAAAGAAAGAAATCATACGTAAGAAATCATAGAAATCATACGTACCTTTAAGTTATATACTAACATAATTAGCGCGACTTCATGCGCCAAAGGGACCTATTAGACTTAAGGACATATTTTGGTTTTATTCCTTTCTTATTATTCTTATTATCCCACTTAGCTAGCTAGGGACCTATTAGACTTAATGACATATTTTGTGTACCCCTTTCTTATCATTCTTATTATCCCATCTAGCTAGCCAGGGACCTATTAGACTTAATGACATATTTTGTGTACTCCTTTCTTATCATTGTTATATCCCACCTAGCTAGCTAGGGACCTATTAGACTTAATGACATATTTTGTTTACTCCTTTCTTATCATTCTTATTATCCCACCTAGCTAGCCAGGGACCTATTAGACTTAAGGACATATTTTGTGTACTCCTTTCTTATCATTCTTATTATCCCATCTAGCTAGCTAGGGACCTATTAGACTTAATGACATATTTTGTGTACTCCTTTCTTATCATTCTTATTATCCCATCTAGCTAGCTAGGGACCTATTAGACTTAATGACATATTTTGTTTACTCCTTTCTTATCATTCTTATTATCCCATCTAGCTAGCCAGGGACCTATTAGACTTAATGACATATTTTGTTTACTCCTTTTTTATCATTCTTATCATCCCACCTAGCTAGCTAGGGACCTATTAGACTTAATGACATATTTTGTTTTATTCCTTTCTTATTATTCTTATTATCCCCACCTAGCCAGCTCACCATGAGAAAGAACCCGTGTCAAAATACGACACTGCAAGCATACCGTACACTCATATTCGGTGCCGTTTACAATCGGGCACTTCCATGTCCATTAAATTTAGACTGGACATCTATGTTATCACATTTTGAAAATATTAATATCTATAACCTGGATATTCAGGATCTACAAATAAACCCAATACAAATGTTCATCCAAAAAAAATAAGACGTGGCAGGATATTGTTTCTTCATTAAAACTAGAAAGCACTCAGAGCGCACACTCCTCCGCTAAGGCTAAACACAATGTAATCGATTTGCAATTGTACCAAGGACGTGGTGTATTCACTCTTCCATGCCACGCGTGTATCGCAGCTTTTGCCAGTGAGTTCCATGGAATACCTACAGCTTTGTGACACTGATGCGCATGCGTCTAATTTGAATATTAGATCACGCCCCATTGCATTGCAAAATTCGCGGTAAACTGTTCGTGGGGGAACCACGTACCACTTGGTACTTGTTCTTTTAGGTCCGAATAAGATCTTAACCTTTTACTTGCTTCAAACCCTCAAGAGTAAAGTGCACAAAAAAGCTATGTTAAGAAAGCAAACTGAGGGTAAGGCCAACCAAAAAAATGTTCGGTCTCTGGTCAGACCAAAGTTCTTTTTTTTTATTGGCTTTTTTTTTTCTTCAAGCTTGGATTGTACAAACAATGTGGGGTACTATTTTGCTATTTGGTGTCCTCATGTACATTGGTGTCCTCCATAATTTGCCTTAGTGCTCTCGATCATTTGCCTTGGTGCAATTTCCCATTCCTTTGTGCTCTTTGGTAAAAAAAAAATGAGGAGGTGCGGCAATAGAGGGCGCTGTTGGAGCTACCGCGGAACATTTTGGAAAAAAAGATTGACGTGCATGATTAAAATCGACGCGCGCGCTGACCAGAGACCGACTTATTTTTTGGGGGGCCTAACCAAAGGTGTTTTGTTGCTTAATAAATTGTGCTGTGCAACACCCTACACCTTGTTGGGAAATGACTGCTGTTTTATGACGTGTTGTGATCAGATAGTTTTGCTGTTACGGATGAAAGAGGAGCCAGCAGCGAAAGGAGGGGTGAAGGGGAGTGGCTCATCAAAGATGAAGGAGGAATGAAGCGTTCTACACATAACACTCCTTCCAATTCATAGTGTTCCCAATTAAAGGCTCATACCATACTTTCAATACTTTCAATGGGGGCGCTGTTCAAATCCGATAATTATTAATACTATATCCGGTATTATCATTATTATATTAGGCAATAAATTATTAAGATGTACATTATGAAAACATCCTTGAGAAATACACAATAACGATCGTTCTTATGCGTTGTATGCATGGGCGGAATTGGGGGGGGGGGGGCGTGGATGCCGGATGATATGTGTTCCTCACTCTTTGTCCCCCGCCAAGACTTTTGTTATGATCAACAAGAATTCCGGGTTTGAGGTTTTCTTCGAACTATATTAATTATTAAACAATTATTCTCAAAAACGGAGAACACAATACAAAAGATTTCAATGCACATTTTTATGCAAAATAGCTTAGGGCGTATGTGCGCAGCATGTACATTTGAAAAGACAATAAAGTTATTTTGATATTGGGCATTAGACATTCACATCCAAATAAAATATGGACATTCACTTTACAAACCAATGTGCACATCCAATGTCCAATATCCAAACAGCAACATGGACATTCCCTGTACAAACGAATGTGAATGTCCAATGTCCAATATCAAACTAACTGTATTGTCTTACATTAAGAATCATGAACAGCGTCCCCTATTGTCACGTGGTTTCTATCCCCTCCGCCCTCTCTTCAAAATTGTTCACTGCCGGGCAATTTTAGTACTCTGCCGTGTGGTCATCCGTCATCCCCCGACTCGTCGGCACAGATTTACACCACTGGTTGTAGGTATCTCAGAGGGTGTTCTCTGTTGTTTTAATTTAGCTACAATGAATGCATCTACTCATTCCTTTCCCAGTAATGCAAAAAAATCCCTCAAACTCCGCCTTACCGCATAAGGTCTATAAAAAGGCAAAAATATGTAGCAAATAATAACAAAACACAGGACAATAAATCAGCCAAATTGCATTAGGCATACATCATGTGTCAAATCTTAAATTAGGGTAGGAACAATGACAGAGGGATACGTTGTCATCATTATTTGCTGGAGCGACTTTTAGTACATCATATTAATTGAGACCGAATGAAACTGGTTGCTGAGTTGTTCTTGATGTGTGATGACACGAGGACCTGACTATAGCGCTGTAGGCGATCATAAGGATAGCATGAAATCTAGCATGAAATCTGTAGTCCACAGTGCCAAAATCGGTTATGGTTATGGTTTATTTTTTCATATCATAGCACAAACAACATAATAAACAGGGAACTAAATAAAAAATGATACAGGTAAAAAGCATATGCTTGTAGCTTATAAATTAATATTCACATTCGTATGAATACACATAGGTCTAAACAGTACTTACTTACATCCATACATTACAAGAAATAAATCAATTTATTACAATACAGGAAAGGGAGGAAGTGGGCAAGAAGCAAAAAGTGGCCAAGGAATTATAAAACAATACTATATTTTCCAACAATCTGTGAGATGACATGAACTTACAATTTATTGGGATACTAATAATGGTTGAGATAATACAGATTATTGAGATCCACGCGACGTCCGTATTGTGTGATGTTCTGGTCACATCAGTAGAAGGAAGTTCTAATTGGACACGATGGAGGAGACGTCAACAAGTGACACGTGATAAGCGTTTGTTTTGCATGAACCTACGTTAGCTCAAATCTCTTTAATTGGTCATTCGGGAAAACGTCCATGTTTATATGAGGTTTGTAAAACCACGCTACGAATCACTTCGTCTTTGTTTTCGTAGGGCACTGACTGTATGCCTGAAGAAAGCAAAAACAGTGGAAGGCTGCCAGATGATGTGGCTTCTTTTATTGGGCCTAGCCCTAGGACTTCTTGGAACAGCTTTGGCAACAGGTACAGGCACTGGTAAGCAAATTTTGCTCACAATGACTGCATTTTATTAAAATATCAGGCCAGGTCATGGATCAATATAAGTTACCATTTGTAAATCATATAAAATCCCGTAAAAAAAATTAAGACTATTTTGTAGGATCTGCAATTTGTCCGTTTATATTTCCGTTTTCTTTCGTCCTCGTGCGTTGTCTTAGAACTCAAAAGGTTCTAACGGCTGTATTAACACAAGAAATTATTTACGAAGAAAATTGGTCAAAATAACAAAGGATTGTTTAAGTTATACGTCATTAACCCTGAAAGAGCCATTTTTATCTTACAACCTGGGAAAACTTGGAATGTCTGCAGAAGTATCCATTATGAGTACATCTGTACATCTCACAATCATTATGTAAAGTTACAATTAAATTGGACACTAATTTATTTTGTTATAAAATGTAAATCCACACCCCACGCGTGCCAGTCTGTACGCAAGCACTTTTACACCCGTAATGGGAAAAGTTTACATATTCGCTATACCCCTGTTCGAGAACAGTATGCCTAATTTTCATAAAATATGAGTCGAAATGACCGCAAGACATTAGAGGAACAACTTATGAAAGAAAAAGAAAAATGCGTTAATATATATAATATCGAAAAAGGAAAATAATTAAAAGATGGGGTCGTCCCCTGCTATTTAAGGGATGAAATAAAATCTGTAAATTTTTCCCCTCATATTCACATGGGTCCCAATGTATTGGCGAGTAACAGCAAGGGTGTTTGTCTGAAAAACATTTGAATTTTTAGGATCGTTATTCATGAAACATGGTAGAGCGTATTATTGGTTTTCCCGGCTATTTTAAAACATTATTAATACAAATTCAACAACTCTAGCATTCAATTTCGTCCGAGAAAAAAATCATACGCTTTAAACAAAACCAATTTAGTCATTTACCATTCAATTTCAAAGTTTGGTCACGCTCTTTAGTCACGGGCTCGAGAATATTCGTCCTTACAGATCAATTAATTACAGATCAAAGCTGAATGTTGCCGAATGGCAGCATTCAGAGATCGAATTCGTCGTACATAAATCAATTAAGATCAATTTAATTTCTGAATAACAAGGTTTGGCATTGACGAGACGAAATCGAAAACTCCGGGACGAAAACGTGTGCTCATTGTTTGAAATTGCTTGAACTAAATTTAAAATAGTCCGACAAAAGACGAATTCAACATTGGAAGTGCACGAAATCGATATTGATGGTCGAATTTCAATATTAGAAACGGTGAATTCAAATGATAAAAAAATTAAAATAGCTTGGGAAACCTATAGTAAGTTTATTTGTAAGATGATATTTGCCCTTCGAGACGTTATTGAAATAGCACTGGACGCTCCGTGCTGTCAGAGAACTCGCAAGAGGAATTCTCAAAACCTCAAGATTACTGATTGAATTGCGCTTCAGGAAGATGCAATATGTGATGTTTTATAGAATGTCCTTTATTAAATCCGCTCGTCTAAAATGAACGACTTGAACAAATATTGTATTGATCTTGCGAGGTAAAATGGCCGGGGCGGGTATCCCCCTCCACCCGCCACCTGTACATTTTTCAGATACCACATCAAAGCAATATTTTAGAAAATCAGTCCGGGCTTTCATAAGCTGTTCGGCTAATGTTTTTTTGTCAATTTGACTCCCACTGTGTAAAAATCAGACACACCGTTCACTCCAAATGTCCTTTTTTTTTTGCTTCAGGGGTACAAGCAAAAATGCAATCTTTTCTTTTTCAAGGTCGGATCAAGAGAGGTTTCTGCCGGGATGGGGGGGGGGGGGGGCGCTCTCAAAGGAGGGGGGGGCTCAGCACCCACCTGGATTGCACATCTGTTCATGCAAAGACTACACGCATGCATTGAGAAAATGAATTAGAAATGTTATAATGAAAACCCTATTTTTTACAATTGAATTGAAACTAACTATAATTCCAGGAATCTCTGTGTGTCTGTCTGTACTTCGATTGTTTCCAGAACCGGGCAATGTATGAAGTTGAAAATTGGCGGGTTTATTGCTCGGGACCACATAATGTGCAGTGTCAAGTTTGAAGTTACTTGGCTGAGCGGTTCTTTAAAAAAATGCAAACAAACTGCAAATTGACCCCATTTGCACATACAACTTATCGCAGAAATGTTTAGCGCCGCTCGTTATGACGTCATCGTCACGTTCTCGCTTTACACGCATGCCATCTACTTCGGCCAATCTCGGTCGACTCGCTTCAGTTTTACGAATGAGCTTATTATGCATCGGGTGGCGCACATGTGTAGTATGGCATGATAAAAAGCTAAAGATGGCCGCTTTCTGGTGCAGACGAAAGCGTCCAAATCAATGAATTAAAGTTGTTTGGATGAACGGTTCTCGAAAAAGCTGCAAATTGGCCCCATTTGTCTAATAAAAGATACAAGATTTGGCCTGTGTGTGTGCGTAGAGCTGACTTTCAGGGGGGGGGGGGCTATCCATTATCAACAATGGGTAATTTACGGGGGGCTATTCCATCATTATCAATGGGTCAATAAACCGTCCCCGTTTTCACGAAGAGACAAAAGTCTGCCCGTTTAAAGTGAAAAGCATGTTTTGAGAAAATCGCATTTGAAGTTGGTCTCTTTTTGCATCGCACATTTCCCTATTACCAGGTACTCTTTTTAATTCACCAATGTTACCACACGAAAGACCAGATGTTGAATGACTAAAAACTTTTAAATTATTTCAAAAAAAGAATTAATTAACATTGGTTAATTAGCAAAGAAACACTTTTGTCTGTTCGTGAAAACGCTAAAATGTGTTTTGCCCTCCACGCAGTCACTTTTCTCTCTTCGTGAAAACATTACGCGCTGTACCTACGCGCAGTGGCGAAGTGGGGTAAAATGCACTTTCGCTCTTCGTGAAAACGGTACGCGCAGTACGCGCAGTGGCGTTGTGCAGTAAAATCATATAGCTCTAGGGTAAAATGCACTTTCGCTCTTCGTTAAAACGGTCAAGTCGATCTAGGGCAGTGTTTTCCCCTACATTCGCGCATTAATCGTGTACACAACTAAGGTAGATGGGCAAACACGCATTATTTTGCAACTCAAAGCAACTTGGTTTCCACGTAAAATATAATTATGGTCTTTTTTACAAATCATTAGTCTCTTATCCGGCCGTATAACAGATGCAGTAAGATTATATGACGTCATTTATTATGTGCTACTGCAGTAGCTATAGGGTGCTTTCGGGTTACTGTGTGATGAAAATTTTTGGTCAATGGGACTGGGTAATTTTTGTTTACATTAATTTTGTACAGTTTTTTTTTCCATTTAAACTGTTCTCATTTGTTTGTTTTGTTTCCACACATTTATGATCAAGTTACTTCAAGAGGACCCTTCAGCTTAGTGATAGACTTTTCATTTTGTCTGATACCATGAACGCAAAATATTATCAAAATGAAGTTTTCATTACATGCAATTTGCCATTTTCATTTCACTGTTTTTCCATTTTTAATTTTTTTTTGGCTTTCGTGAAACAAAGGGAAATAAGTTCTGCACGTAGCACTTTCAAAATCTAGGATATGAAAGCCCAATTCATCAGCTTTCTTTTAGTGCAAGAATAATAATCAAGTCATTCATGTAATGTTCACGTTATGGAATTGTAAACACAACCACCGTTTCAAAGTTTAGTCCAGAAACCTTGATAAATAATGATATAGGCCTATTTGGATTAAATTCAAGCCAGTTCTAAATTAAATGGTTGTGGTATCCACTAATGATATCAGTATGGCAGGAACACCTCTCGTCATGAGCAGGCAATCGGCAAAGGAGAAGAGATGTACAAATGCATTAAATCCATGTCTTAAGTGTACTTCTCTCTTCCCGTATTGAAATATTACAAGATGGAGGAGACGTGAAATGTGGCACCAAGGTGCGGCAGAACTAGGTGGAAGGGGGAACTTGCCCCCCCCCCCGGCCAACAAAAGTGCCCCTCTCCGGGTCCGTAAATGTGCCCATTCGAGATTAAAACAAAACTGCCCCTACGAAGTCATGAAAGCATAATCATGATTGCGCTTAAATATTGTCTTCTCTCATGTAATGAAAAATTGCCCCTCAAAAACACAATACCCCTCGCGTGAACCTTCTCCAGATTTGTGAAACTTCTCGATATGGAAAACTACCCCTCGAAAGCACAAATACCCCTCTTGCAATACTAAAATTGTGCCCCTCTCGAGATTTGAAATTGGCTATCAAAAACAAAAGTGCTCCTCTCCCAACAACATATCGAGATGGAAATCTGCCACGCGAAAACATAACAAGTACCCTGCTCGCAACATTATTATACTCTGCCACTCTCAAGATGGAAAACTGGCCTGTGAAAAAATAACATGTAAAAGTGCTCCTCAAGCGATAAAACAAAATGGTTACTAACCGGCCATCAAAAGCAACATTGCCCCTCTCACGATAAAAAATCGGGTTCCTTTGCATAGGCTTAGCTAGTCAAATTTAAGGGCGGACCCAAAGAGGTTACTGCCGGGGTGTGCTTGGATATAGGAGGCCGAATGTCTCTCTCAAGTGAAAAAGTCAGGAAAAGCTAGCATACTGTAAATTATTTGAGTTAGGAAATTAAAATGTAAAAAAAGTTTAACGCAAACATTTCAAAAAGTGTATTTCGCTGTTAGTAAATTTGTTGCTAGTAACTTTTTTTGCAATGTGAACGAAAACAGTTTCACAATTTTCTCTTCTTTCACACCGACGGGAGGTGCCTTTTTTCTGAGGAAGTGCCGCCTTTTATTGATGCCCCCCCCCCCCCCCCCGTTTAAAAAGCATTCCGCAAATACAAGCTATTATTATTAATAACAAATGATCAAAGCACTTGTGCAAGCTTCCCAAACGTCCTCCTGGCAATTGAAATCTTCACATAAGCATGCTGTTTTTTGACGAGTTTTATTTTCTGAGTATTTATCTTGATCGTTTTCTGTATACATTGTTACAAGAAGTTTAATGATGAACAGAAACACTTTGAAATAATTGACATGTTTCATTTGGAGTGCACTTATGAGACATAAAAATGATCAAAATAGCACGTTTTAGCGGTGTAGCAGTCAACTCATTACTCTAAACATCTTCAATTAAAGCCATATTTTCCATCGTTTCACGCACGCCTCCCCAAAATAAGGTGCACTAAAACAAAGGTAAATGACAATCCAGTACTGTCCTTGTCACAAAAACTTCCTTTTGTTCTATTTTCGTTTATGGTATCAGACAAAACGAATATTCCATCAGTAAGCTGAAGGGTCCTCTTGTAGTTTCTTTGGTGGGAACAAAAATTGAAAGAAAAACTGTACGAATGTAAACAAAAAAAGTTACTCTCAGTCTAACTGTCTAAGTGACCTGATATTTTCAAAACACAGTAACCCGAAAGCTCCCTTCAGCTCCTGCAGTAACACACAATAAATAATGCATATCATCTTGCCGACCGACCTGCATCTGTTATTTAAAAAATGCCGAGGAATACGAATGAGAACCCACGATTTGTCAAAAAAGAGACCCATAATTGCGCAAACCAAAATCTTCTAAGTGGCAAAATAATGCGCGTTTGCTCATCTACCCAAAGTTGTGTACACGGTTAATGCGCGAATGTAGGGGAAAACACTGCCCTAGATCGACTTGACCGTTTTCACGAAGAGCGAAAGTGAATTTTACCCTAGAGCTATACGATTTTACTGCACAACGCCACTGCGCTTACTGCGCATACCGTTTTCACGAAGAGCGAAAGTGCATTTTACCCCACTACGCCACTGCGCGTACAGCGCGTAATGTTTTCACGAAGAGAGAAAAGTGACTGCGGGGAGGGCAAAACACATTTTAGCGTTTTCACGAAGAGAGAAAAGCGTGATTTCATTGATTAAAACTGATTTTGACAAAACAAAAGTTTGCCAGGATGTTCGTTATTGTTCACTTATTCAATTAAGAATGTAAGACCAAAACCAGAATTTCGAAAATATGAAGATTTCTGGCCACTTATCTCTCTTCGTGAAAACGGTGCCGAAACAATGGCACACTTTTGTTCCTCATGTTTTCCGTACTATAATTTGAGAAATCTTTGTGTGTCTGTCCACAGATAAAAAAAAAAAGTGCGTTCAACCTTGAGTGTGCGTTCAACCTGTTAATACAACACCATGAATCGTGTGCGTTTGCATGAGCAGGTCTCAAAAACGCTGCAAGCAACCAATACCAGCGGCCAAGCAATGTGCTCCTTTTAAACAGGCACATTTTCAACGGGCTCTGCACTAATACTAATAATGAATGCTCCTATATACATGTGTGACTGGTGTCATCACTTAACGCTTTGTTCACTTATTCAATTAAGAATGTAAGACCAAAACCAGAATTTCGAAAATATGAAGATTTCTGGCCACTTATCTCTCTTCGTGAAAACGGTGCCGAAACAATGGCACACTTTTGTTCCTCATGTTTTCCGTACTATAATTCGAGAAATCTTTGTGTGTCTGTCCACAGATAAAAAAAAAAGTGCGTTCAACCTTGAGTGTGCGTTCAACCTGTTAATACAACACCATGAATCGTGTGCGTTTGCATGAGCAGGTCTCAAAAACGCTGCAAGCAACCAATACCAGCGGCCAAGCAATGTGCTCCTTTTAAACAGGCACATTTTCAACAGGCTCTGCACTAATACTAATAATGAATGCTCCTATATACATGTGTGACTGGTGTCATCACTTAACGCTTTGCGTAGGATTCCTTTGTGCTTTCATTTTGACCTATAGTCGATTGAAATTTCCAAAGTATTAAACTCAGCTCTTAGAACTTTTTAATTCCCAGAAAAGGCACGAGGACAAAAGAAAATGGAAATGCATGTATACTGGTCTACTTGTTTATGTGATCGAATCCTGCGACATGATTCTTAAGTACCTTTTTCACTTATGGGATGTTAACATGATTTATAAAAGTGTGTAACTTTCCCTTTTGATTTTGGAGATATAAACCATACTGGTGTTCTAATAACATGAAGTTATTAAGGGGTGTCAGTTTTTATGAATATAAACAGTGCGAAATTAAGTTAAGAGGCTAGTAACGCAATGGTAGCTCTGATGACTTATGCCTCATTTTGTTGGGTTGGATCACAATTGATTGCATAAGTGCGGTCATTTTGATGACGTCATTTCAACATGTTGTCCCAAAGTGACTCTGGGAAATTTTTATTTCTAAATTAGTCAGGGTCCCTCTAAAAAAACACCAAATTTAGCTGGCAGAAACTAGTTCCCTCTTCATCCAACACTTTCGGCTCATTCCAATCGCCAACTATCGATATAGGCGTATGTGCTCAAATATCAGCAATATGTTTGTTTTTAAAATAAATAAAAAGTAACAGAAATAAACGAGCCGGGAAATAAAGAAAGGACCTCAGTACACATTTATATTGCAAGAAATAACAAAACATTGGAGAAAACACGTTGAAGAAAAAAAGCAAAACTGTATTCTTTTGTTTAAAAGATGTAATGGAAATAACAAAGCACCGCTATCAAAATAAGGATTTCTTCAAATCAACACAAACAATGGTTTCTAATGCTAATTCTCCAGTGATTAATCACAAGGGAGGGCGTGCCAAAGTAATGATGCTAACGAGTTCATCAATATACTGCACTTACAAAACGTGTCCGTTTGATAATAATTATACACATGGGATCAATTAAGTTTCATTTTGTTTCTAAATTTTTCGCAATTGCAAAACAGATGATCACGATGATTACCCAATTCGGCTTGTTGACGGTGCGACCGATAACGAAGGACGCGTTGAGATCCTCTTCAATGGCCAATGGGGAACCGTTAACAGCGAGGGTTGGGATTCCCGAGACGCTAGCGTGGTGTGTCGACAGCTTGGCTTCTACGGCCACAACTCATCGGTTGGTAGTGCTTACTTCGGTGAGGGGACCGGCACCATCCTGATTACCTATGTCGGCTGCTTGGGGAATGAACATCGCCTAACTGACTGCGCCTTTGAAGGTTGGGGTGTCCTGGCAAGTCATGCGCTAGATGTCGGCATTCTCTGCCAGACGGGTGAGTTGTACATAAACAAAAAGTGTAAAGGGACCGGAATATGCGGCATTTCCTGCAAGAATGTTGCTGGTCACAGAGGGCCAGCACAATGTCATCTTTGCCCTTACAGATATGTCCCATGAGCATCCCATGGGATTCCCATTAGGTATTCCCATGGGACCCCATGGAAAACCCATGGGGTCATCAAGAACACCATGAAAGTTAAAATGATCACCATGGGAGATTTTATGCTCATCATGGGAAACCCATGGGAACACCATGGAGATTGCATAGACAACATGGGAACACCATGGGGATTTTATGGACACCATGGGAACACCATGGGGATTTTATGGACACCATGGGAACACCATGGGGATTTTATAGACACCATGGGAACACTCTGGGTATGGACACCATGGGAACGTACATCATGGGGATTTTAGACACATAGGTGCACTATGTACGCCGGGATATACTGGAGAACATGCATATATGCCATGGGAACCATCATAGACCCAATTGCACTCCCAAACTATAGGCAAGCCTTTCTTTAATTTATTTATTTATTCGCAAGTAAATTTGAATTCAATTAAAAAATGTTCCCTTGTGGTCATAGAGGTTATCAAGAATTCTATTTTTTTTATGCTGACCATGGGAAACTTTTTTCACCAATTGAACACAATGGGATAGACACCATGGGACACCATGGGAAATCGCTTGTGAGAATCGCTTCAATAACGAGTGTTGTAATTGCAAATTTTTGAAATTTTCTGTTGATAAGTGAAGTCATGAAGCATACAGTATTTTTTATGTGAAAAATGTGTCATTCAAAGAACTTTGGATAATATTGATTTATTTGTTATTATGGTTGGAAACATTTATGAGAAAATAAATTGGGTACACTGTGATAATATGGTACAACTTGGCAAGTGGTATGGAAGCAATAATGATGTAACAGTCCGCCGACCCTTCGTCCCTGCTTCCAGCCGGGAGATGCCGCCGGACGGACGCTGACAGGATTAGGCTATCCCGATGAGCGGTTACCGGGAAACCCGGGACGTTACTTCGTTTGGAGGAAGTATACCCCCAGGCATTGCAGTGGACCAGAGATACTCTCACTCAATCACTCTCACCCTATTAGGCTCAATAACTCACAGGAGACAATGATTAAGTCACAGTCCTCTTTTTATAACTTAACAATGGTGTTTTATTGTGTGCGCCTTAACCCTAAAGGGGCCGGGGGGCGGAATCCGCCCCCCCCCCCCCCTCAACATTTTCCGCGATAGCCTCTAAAAAAATTTTTTCGCGACCCGAGCTGTTATGACTTTTTAGCCTCGAGCTTCGCGCATCTTTTGATACCAAAAACATAAAAATCGGACCACGGGTTGGCACGTAGCGAAAAATTTTCCGGCGCTACGCGCCGTGAAAGCTGAATTTTCGCATATACGTCGTGTACACCGAGCAGAATTGCCATTCATACATATGAATAATTAATTAGCCATAATTCCAAAACCCTTTGACCTATGGTCATGAAATTTCTTGGGCATGTTTAGGAAGAGTTGCTCTATGCATGTGCTGAGTTTCAAAATTTTTCGTCACTCGATGGCCGAGATCTTTGGGGGGGGGGCGGAATCCGCCCCCCCCCCCCCCCCCCCCCGGCTGAGAGATGGTCAAAATAACCCGGCCCCTTTAGGGTTAACAGACGACTCCTATATAGGCGTCTATTGCTAACTCTAACGTGGACACAATGTTCGCTGCTTATTCTAACTCTTTCTGGTCAGTTAACTCACCAACAAGGCAGCCCGTCCGGTGGGTCCCTCTTCTGGGTTAACTCGCTAGCGGATAATCAATCGCAGCGCTGCAAGACCTGCATCCAACTGACTGACGACTCACCCAAGAACTAACTCGTGTCATGCGCTTCTGCTTGTGACTCCATTTGTGACTGACCGAGTGAGCGAGTGTCACGCGCGCGGCTGACGCACCCTTTTATACCCGCGGGCAGCGCGTGCATAGACAGTAGCAGCGCGGAGGCCACCGACGCAGGCACCAGTACCCTAGACTGGCACTATGTCCAATGTTTCGTTACACAGCCTCGCCTTAAGTTTGGTCAGTCCCTTTGACCAATAAACTTATACAAAAATAAATAAAGAAACATTGGTCCACCTAAAGTCTCTTAAATTTTGACATAAGGTGATATCTACCGGACTTCTTTGTCCTAGATAGGTTCCTAGCTATACAGCATAACTTCAATAAACATTCAACTTCAAACTGTTCGAGTTTTATAAACACTTCCTAAACTTATGGCCTCAATAAAGTTAACATGTAAACACAAAGTTTAAACAACTCCTAAGCTTAATCGGTAAACGTAATTAAACAACTTGCAAACTTCAAGGTGTAAGGCGTTTAAGGTGAAACTCCTGGTTTCTGTTAACTTGTGAACTTAAAAAGATGTAAAGGCGTCTAAGGTGAAACTCCTGGTTTCTGTTAACTTGTGGACTTAAAACCCAGCTTTAAAATTAACATCAAAAACGCGCTCGGTTTCCTCTCGGGTAACCAAAAGTCCTCCATGGTACAGACTACGGGTCTTCCTCTCGGTGATCTTTGTCACGTTGCCAATCATGGAGCCTACCAGTTGTGCGATGTTCATGGAGGGTCCCAAGCCTTCTGACCTCGAGTCCTTATCCACGATGATCCTACGAATCTTCACCGGGGTGGCGACTCAAAAGTGTGGCCCGCCTTCTCAGGCTCACTTGCCTCTCTCAGTACGACTACATCGTAGTGACGGGATGCAGAATCGTGCAGGGTACGCATCTCACCAAGGTAAGTATCTGTCTTCTCCTATTCGGTGATCCTCACGACTTGCCCGGCAAAGAACTTCCCAAGGGGTACCTTTCCTGGTTGCCGTATCGGCTCCTCTGGTTTAGTGGCAGTGCTACACATCGGCATGCTGTCCCACAGCATGGATAAGGTAGGCGAAACCGCTATCTCGAGGATGTCCTCACTTGCTAGGAGCGGTCCCGCATCAAACTCTGGCTGGGAAGAGCCCTGCCCTGCAGGCTCTCCATGCTCGCCTTAAAGCTTAATCGGTAAACGTAATTAAACAACTTGCAAACTTCAAGGTGTAAGGCGTTTAAGGTGAAACTCCTGGTTTCTGTTAACTTGTGAACTTAAAAAGATGTAAAGGCGTCTAAGGTGAAACTCCTGGTTTCTGTTAACTTGTGGACTTAAAACTCAGCTTTAAAATTAACATCAAAAACGCGCTCGGTTTCCTCTCGGGTAACCAAAAGTCCTCCATGGTACAGACTACGGGTCTTCCTCTCGGTGATCTTTGTCACGTTGCCAATCATGGAGCCTTCCAGTTGTGCGATGTTCATGGAGGGTCCCAAGCCTTCTGACCTCGAGTCCTTATCCACGATGATCCTACGAATCTTCACCGGGGTGGCGACTCAAAAGTGTGGCCCGCCTTCTCAGGCTCACTTGCCTCTCTCAGTACGACTACATCGTAGTGACGGGATGCAGAATCGTGCAGGGTACGCATCTCACCAAGGTAAGTATCTGTCTTCTCCTATTCGGTGATCCTCACGACTTGCCCGGCAAAGAACTTCCCAAGGGGTACCTTTCCTGGTTGCCGTATCGGCTCCTCTGGTTTAGTGGCAGTGCTACACATCGGCATGCTGTCCCACAACATGGATAAGGTAGGCGAAACCGCTATCTCGAGGATGTCCTCACTTGCTAGGAGCGGTCCCGCATCAAACTCTGGCTGGGAAGAGCCCTGCCCTGCAGGCTCTCCATGCTCGCCTGAGTACACTATCTCCAATGGGTGAAGCGTCGCCTTGCCTAGCTTTGGCCCTACTTCGTCATCTGGCGCCTTCGATACCGTGCTAGATGGAGTATTCGCCTTCTTCGTAGCCTCGCCTAGCTTTGGCTGTACATCGTCAGCTGGCGCCTTCGATACCGTGCTTTGTGGAGTCTTCGCCTTCTTCGTAGCCTTGCCACGATCTTTACTGGGAAAGTCCTCTGCCTGTTCATACTTGCATTTCTTGTCCGATGTGGCCTTGTCCTTCGATTCGGCATTGCTTTCCCTTCGGCGTCTGTCTTCGCGGGTCTTGTGAGACTCGCCCTTTATCTCGCCCACTTCATCCATGCGGTTGGGGTGACAGTCGCGGTAGTGCGCCTTCAAATGTCTCGGCAATTGTTCTTGTGGGCGCAGTGCCTACACCAGTAGTACAATCGCGGCCCATGCTCGGTAATTAGGTGGCGTTCTAGGCTTCTCTTGTGAAGTCTCTCGTGGCACTTAAGGGCACCTAGTGTGGTCCTGGTCCACCTCATCTCTGGACTTCTCTTGACTGTCTCGGCCCATGGCGAGTATGTACAGACTCTGTAGTGAAAATGCAAAAGTGGTGAGTTTCATTAATGTGTATTTCACCTTCTCTCGCTCTCACAACAATCTTTCACATCTAGCGATATCTCTGGGGCACCTTGCAATGCCTGGGGGGATTCCGACGCGGTAATGGGGTCTCAGTATGGCATGTTTACCCTTCCGAGTTTTCAGGCCTCAATGTGGTTTTGGGACTTGGAATCACGATCGGTGGTGTCTCCTGGGTAAGGTGATTGCCCTCTGGTGACACTCTGGGGGTGAAAGGACGGACGGTTGGGTTTGGAATTCGCCTCCCTGTCGTAGGCGTCTCTATTTGCCCGCTGGAATTGTCTTCCGCTTGTGCTGGAACGCTGGTTTTCTGCTGTTGGCTGAGTATGTCTGCATTAGCCTCTGTTGTGTTCTCAATCCATGAGATGAGGGGATTTCCTATGTAGGACTTCAAGCGGTCCCGATGCACAACTTTCATCTTTCCTCCCTTTTTACGTTAAATCCGGAAGATGACATCGGACAGCTTGTGCACGATGAGATACGGACCCTCCCATCGGCACTGCAATTTAGGCAACAAGCCTTTCCTCTTTGCCGGATTGTGCAGCCCCACGTGCCCTACCGTGCGCGAGTCTGAACTGCTCCCTCAGTTGTT